CGTTGGGGTTCTCCCACCCTTGCAAGGTACAGGGTGGCTGGAAGGGCACAAGGGTGGTCAGCACCGGGAGCTGGAGGGGAAGGAGCAGCCATGGCAGCGGGTTACAGGCATGCTCTCCTCTGCATGCCCGTTAATGGAGTGAGCAGGGATATTAATTAAGGCTCTTCACTAAACGTTCTCCCATGAGTGCTGGTGGGAATTGAGTCCAGACACAGAGCTGTGTGTAGAGCCCAGCTTTCAGCTCAGCCTGAAAACTGCACTGTGCCCAGCAGCCCCCCACAGCCCAGAGACCCCCAGGGAGCAGGGAGCGTGCCCCAGAGACCAAAACCCAGCAGGCAGGAAGGGCCACGCGACGGAGGATCCCACCTGACACAAGGAGGTCACTGAACCCCAGCACAGAGGCCAGCAGAAGGGTTTTGCCCAAAGCTCTGTGCCAACAGCTGAACACCAAGCCAGACCACAGCCTTGGGGACACCCGTGTCGCTGCCCATGGGACTGATCAAACACAGCCTCGCTTGCTCTGAGGTTCCATCAGGAGAGCAGAGCCAGGGGGAAGCTGGGTGCTGGTGAACACTACTGGCTCCAGGGTTCACCCAGCTGCCTAGATCCCAAAGCCTTTGGGATGCCCTTCTGGGAGTTTAACAGCATTTCAACCTCAAAGACTCCCTTTCCTCAAGGTCTTTGCAGGTTCCTCCTGGGAAATACCTGAGCTTCCTTTGGGGTGGCCCCAAGGGAAGCAGGAGCTTCAAGGGCCCTGGGACCACGCAGGCTATTCGCAGAGCCCCCTCTTGAGCTGCAGTTACTGCCCTTTCAGACAGCAGCCCTGGCACATCCCCAGGCTCCCACACAGCAGGGACAAGCTGCCCCATCCCTCCTTCCCCAGGCCCCACTGAGCTGCAAACACGTACACACACTCCCTGAGCATAGCAGCCCAACCCGAGGTGCAGAGAGCGCTCCCTCAACAGCACTCCTAAAAATATACACACACTGCCATGGCTTTGGCATCCTCCCACCTCTGTGCTCAGGTGCTGGCTGCTGCAGGACAGACAAGGTGCTGGTGATTTGCAGGGTGGAAGCTGAGCCACACACCTCCCCACCACGCTGGAGCCAGGCAGGATGGGGTGAGCGGCACGGCACAGCCCGGCTCGCAGCCGGGAGGGCCAGCGCTGCTGCCCAGGACCCAACCCTGCCTGATTAACTACAGAGAAATATTTAAAGTTGGTGAAAGCTCCTTAGCAACAGCCACTGTCTCTGCATGCTGCTGGAGAAGAAAAGCCAGAGGAAAATATGCACAGGGAAGCTGGGGGTTGGAGAATAGGAGGCTGAGAAGGACAAAGATACAGTGATAGCAGGTCCCAGGTGCTGATGGTGCTGGGATGGGGCCCAGGACAGAGCCAGCAGCTCCTCTGGCTATGCCCAAGCCCTGAATGAAGGGAACAGCCAGCATCCAGGCTCCTGGTTGACAAAGACCTATTTCCAGCACAGACCAGGGATGGCTGGTCCTATCCCCGCCTTCCCCCCCAAAGATATAACATTTCCTTCCCCAAAGCTGCCTGCATGGCTAAAGAGTTGCACTTTCACCCATTCTCAAGTCTTTCCAGGCTGAGCCCCACCACACTTGTCCCCAGGGGCTTCTCCATCCCTTGCAGTGTCACAGGCTTAGATGAGACCCATAAACGATGCTCAGCAGTACAGTGTTGTCATCTCACTCTCCCCATAGCTGCAGCTGCCCCCCAGTAAGCCATGCGGGGGGAACACCACACATGGGTGACAGTTTATTTTTCCATTAAAAAAATAGATAACAACTTCACCATCTCCTAACAGATATTACAGTCACCAACACCACAACGTGCAGACTAAATACCGATCTGTCACAATATTGTTGTCCTGGGGCAGGAGGGATGGAGACAGCAGCTTGGGAAGGGGAAGAGGAGACAGACATGTTTCTTGTGGCGTCAGAGCCTTGCCAGGAGGCTCAGTAGGTACAGGACCCATCCACACCTCTCCACAGCCCCAATCTAGGACACACCAGTTCCCACAGTAGTGCCACACACCAGGAGCAGCACCAGGACATGCCTTCAACACCCATACTGCCCACCTTGCCCCACAGCAGCCCACGGAGGAGTCAGGCAGCCTCTGCCTTCAATTTGGGACCCTAGGCATCACCTCAATATCCAGGAAGGCCAGAAAGTCCACAAAGCATCCAAGATGCTGCCAGGGCAGTTGCGGAGGTCACCCGCTTGCTCTGCCAGCCCACACAGGTGATGGGGATCAGACACTTCTGGGATCAGACACTGGCCACATCCAGGGGTGGCCTTGGACACCTCTGCTCTTCCCCTAAAGTCCCTTGACTGTTCCCAGCAGCAAAAGCAGAGGCAGAGAAGCTAAAGCTGGGTAGAAGGAGCCAAGACAGCAAGCCCTCGGGGAGGGTACAGTACCCTGGGGACAGCCCTGGCCCCTCTGGGCAGCCTTGCAGGGAATTGCCAGTGAAGGAGAGACCAAGGCCAGGACCTGGGACATTTCAGCCTCTCTAGAGGCATCACAAGCAATGAGAAGAGGATCAGCAGAAAGGAGAAAGAGCTAGTTTCAGTTAGGATTGTGGAATGGGCCAGGCAGAGCAGTGGGGGAAAGCAGTGAGAAAGCATCAGGGACGTGGGAACAGTTGGCCCTGGGGAGCCAGGACGCTCACCACCGGCTGCGGGGAGTCCAGCTCCAGGAAGGGAGAGGGTTGATTTGAGGGTAACCTCAAGCCAGCAATACCCAGAGCGGGCTCTACCCATCGAGGGAGAGCTGCAGCCCGTGGACTGTGGGCTGCCCAGCATGCAGCCGGGAGCGAAGGCAGATGAGTGGCAGGAGGGATGGAACGTGGCTCACACCTGGGGCCAAGCGGGCATGGGGGGGGCTCAGCAGAAAATGGGGATGGAAACCACCATGGGAGCAGAGGTTGGCTGCAGCCAGTCCAGCGATGAGCCCCCAGGGCTCTATTTCTGCATGTCACACTGCAGGAGGAGGACAATGGAGGGGTCACTCTTTGCTGCCTCCTTGAACTCCTCCAGGGAGATCTGGTCATCCTTGTCCTTGTCCATCTTTGTGAAGATCTTGTCAACACGCTGCTGGGGCGTCAGCCCATCCTGGTTCATCCTCATCATGATCACAGTCCCCACCATCTTGTAAATGGCCTGGAGCAAGAAGAGAAGCAAAGTACCAGAGAAGGAATGTTGGATGGGTGGGAGGTCCCAGGACAAGGCAGGGGACAGGATTGCTGCTTTACTGGGACCCAGTTAGCTGCTGGCATGAGCTATGCTGCTACACAGCTACAACCAGGTGCACATCGGGTACCTTTCAGACAAGGCTCTGAAAGGTAGGCAGGAAAACTCATCCTCTGGTGCCAAAAGGGACCCAATAGCTGTGAAAAGTCTGGAAAGAGCAAGCTGCCCCTGCTGATTTTAAGCACTGGTACCTCAATGATCTCCAGCATCTCCAAGCGCGTGATCTTCCCGTCCCCATCCAGGTCATACATCTCAAATGCCCAGTTGAGTTTCTGCTCAAAGGTGCCCCTGGAGGTGACGGACAGGGCACAGATGAATTCCCTGAAGTCGATGGTCCCGTCACCGTTCTTGTCAAAGGTGCGGAAAGCGTGCTGGGCAAACTTGGAGGCGTCACCGTAGGGGAAGAACTGCAGGGAGGAGAGAAGAGAAAGATTGAAACAGGGAGGGGGAGCTCAGCGCAGAGGCTGCACCTGTAGCAGCACCCTTTCCCCCGCAGGAGCAGGGTGCTCCAGCCCCACAGGCAGCACTCGGGCCCCCAGCTGGAGCCCACCTTGATGTAGAGCTGCTGGAACTCCTCCAGGTTGAGGATGCCGGTGGGACAGTCCTTGAGGAAGCCCTTGTACCACTGCTTCAGCTCCTGCTCGCTGAACTCCGTGCTCCTCACCAGGTCATCCAGCATCTCCGGGGCCAGCTTGCTGCTGTGCTTGCCCATGGTTGCCCCTGGGAGGGAAAACACACGGCTCCTACACACCGGGCACAGGCAGGGCGGGTGCCCCCAGGCCTGCCTCCCCCCCACCAGCTGGCCGACTCCACATGCCTCTTCCCCCCACTAGAGCTGATCCATCCAGCTGATGGGTGTCCGTGCACTGTCAAATGCCAGGACAGCGACTGGCACTGGGGACAGGCTTGGTGCCCATGCTCAGCTGTGGCTGTTGCTGCTGTGTGGGGGCGCGCCCCGGGGGCCACCCTGCCAGTAGCATCACCTTCAGTCCCCCCATCTCCTAGGCTGGCTCCCTTTGGGCTGCAGAAAGACACTCAAAAAGCAACTGAAGACCCAGAACTCGCATGGCTTTTACCAGGCCATTATGTCCAGCTGCCCTCTGGATTGATGGGACAAAGAAGTAACACAAGTCTGCCATTAAAGCAGGGAAAAACCTCAGTGGCACCATCTGACTTGCAGCATCCAGCCGGCTGCAGCAGTGCCTGCTCCTGGCCAGCCCTCGGTGAGGATGGGGTCTGCAGCCAGACACTCCTCTGCCGCGGGGCTGCCCGCAGCACGGTGTACTGGAGTGCTGGCAAGCCCGCAGCTACGTGGGCAGGACGGAGAGCTGCTCCGATACACGCCGTGCCCGCTCCCACGCAGCCTTGGCTGCCGGCACTGCTCAGCCCAAGTGGCAGCAGATGGTTTGCTGAGAGCTCCTGGAGCTTCTCTCTCCACAGAGAAAGTTGAGTAGAAGTTCATCTAGAGCCTGACCAAGCACCATCTCCCTTCCAAGCGTCTGATTTCCTGGCCACATGGGCTTGGGGGACATCAGGGTACCTTGGGATGGGCACAAGCCTCCCCCTGCAGTGATGTGGGGCTCCTCATGCTCCCATCCAGCCCCGCTCCCAGGCAATCCCGCAGGCAGAGCCTGCCTCCTGCCCATCATCCCACCAGCATCTAACACCGTCTGCCGCAGCAGCGCTTAATCCACTGCCCCTCGGCAGCCAGAGCCGAGGAAACGTCCGGACGCCCACGGAGCACAACACTTCCCCAGAGATCCCCAGCTCAGCTCCAGAGCTACACGAGCCCTCCTGGCACCGCAGCCTGGCTCTAACCTGTAGGGACCGATTAATCCCCATCACGTGCCTCGCTCGTGTCCTCCCACATCTCCCACCAGCTGTGCTGGCGGGTGGATGGACCCTCTCGCCTGCACAAGGGGCAGCTTTTCCCATAAATGAACAGCAATGAGGACCTTTGCTAGAATCACCACACCTTATCCTGCAAGTGAAGCCCTCAAAGAGACCAGGATGCAAGAAGAATCTTCCTCGATCCTCAGACCTCAAGTCCCTTTTCCGAGCAGGACCCAGCACTGGCCAC